TTTTATTTATTTTATTTTATTTTTTAGAATTTAGGTGGAGATGCAGAGGGTTGAGGCTCTGGAGGAGCTGCAACAACCCCCCTCACCATCCAGCGATTTTTATTATGAGCTACAGAAAGACAGGTGTGAGAGATAGTGATCAGTAGAAACCATAAAATGTGCAAAAACAGGTGGCTTTGTTCTGAGAACTATATGCTTAACATTTTCCTTAAGGTCATAACTCTCCTGGGGGCAAGCTTCCTGGAACGATAAGGATCTGTTTTCAGTTCCTAGCAGAAATGTTTCCCTCTTTTCAAGGGGACATCTGCAATTCTGGGAAGCTTGCTAACCAATTCCTTCAGAGTTCGTTTGTTGTTTGCTGATCTTTTCCTACATTTCCCCCTTTTTGTTTTTGCTGAATTTGATGAAGCAGGATAGAGAAAGCAGCTGCTTTCTGCTGTCCTTTGGTGATTAAGTTTTGCGATCAGTGAGCTCCTCTCCAGACTGTGTGGAAATAACAGCAAGCATGGCAAGGAAAAGGGTAGTTGCATTTGCTGGCTGTCCAGCCTCTTGCAACACTTGTTCAGCTTTCTGATTCATCTTCTTTAGTTGGCCCCAAGTAGGAACCGTAGCCCTTTGTGTTTGAGGCAAAGGGACAGTGATGGTTTGTGCATGAAGATCTAACTTCTGCATGGTTTGAGTTAAGTTGTCAAATTCACGCCTCCTTCTCTTGCTCATGTCTAATTTTGATTTCCCTTACGGGCGTCCAATACTTCTGTTGACCGAGACTGTCGCTGTGGACCCTGCTCGCTGCGCCAATTGTACTCACGGGATGCGAAGAAACTTGAGACACGGAGAATGTAGAAGTTAGGTGGAGATGCAGAGGGCTGAGGCTCTGGAGGAGCTGCAACCTATTTTTTATTTTTATTATTACTTTTTTAGTTTATCTTTATCGTTGAGAGTATTACAGGTGTCCCATTTCCCCCCCAAATTGACCCCCTCCACTTCGCTCCCACCCCCTCCCCAGGCCTTCACCCCATTATTAACTGTGTCCATGGGTTATGCATATATGCATATAACTTCTTTGGTTAATCTCTTCCCACCCTCCAACCCCCTTCCCTCTTTCCTCTGAAATACGATCGTCTGTTGCATTCGTCAGTGTCTCTGGATCTATTTAGTTCGTCAGATTCTTTTGTTCATTAGCTTCTTCTTAAATAAGACTCTTCAGCTTTTGCTGAAGTGCTGGTCTGGTGGTGATGAACTCCTTTAGATTTTTCTTATTTGTGAAGCTCTTTATTTGACCTTCAATTCTAAATGATAGCTTTGCTGGGTAGAGCAATCTTGGTTGTAGTTCCATGTTTTTCATCACTTTGAATATTTCTTGCCACTCCCTTCTGGCCTGCAAAGTTTTTTTTGAGAAATCAGCTGACAGTCGTATGGGTGCTCCCTTGTAGGTAACTAACTGCTTTTCTCTTGCTGCTTTTAAGATTCTCTCTTTGTCTTTAACCTTTGGCATTTTAATGATGATGTGTCTTGCTCTGAGCCTCTTTGGGTTCCTCTTGTTTGGGACCCTCTGTGCTTCCTGGACTTGTAAGTCTATTTATTTCCCCAGGTAGGGGAAGTTTTTCTGTAATTATTTTTTCAAATAGGTTTTCAATTTCTTGGTCTCTTTCTTCCCCTTCGGCACCCCAGTAATACGAATGTTGGACCTCTTGAAGTTGTCCCAGAGGCTCCTTATACTATTTACATATTTCTTGATTCTTTTTCCTTTTGCTCTTCTGGTTGGGTGTTTTTGTTTCCTCATGTTCCAAAGTGCTGATTTGATTCTTAGTGTCCTCTACTCTACTGTTGATTCCCTGTAAATTATTCTTCATTTCAGTTCCTGTAGCTTTCATTTCAATTTGGTACTTTATTATGTTATCGATTTTCTCAGTTATTTCCCTAATGGTCTACTTAAACATCCTTATAACCAAAATTATGAACTCTGTATCTGTTAGCTTGCTTGGATCTATTTCATTTAGTTCCTCTTCTAGAGATTTCTTCTGTTCTTTCCTTTGTGACATGTTTCTTTGCCTCCACATTTTGGCTGCTTCCAGGTGTTTGTTCCTATGTATTAAGTAGAGCTACTATGTCTCCTGGAATTTGTAGAGTGGCTTTGTGTAGTAGGTGTCCTGTAGGGTCCAGTGGCTCAGCCTCCCCAGTTACCTGAGCTGGGCCTTCTAGGTGCTCCCCTGTGTGGGCTGTGTACACAGTATTGTAGTTGAGCCTTGGTTGCTGTTGGCGTCCCTGGGAGGAACTGACCCCCAGGCCAATCAGCTGTGAGGACCAGCTGCAACTACAGTCAAAGAGCTGCTTTTCTGGAGACATCCCTATGGAGCAGGATTTACTTCAGTGGAACTTTGGTGTTCACCAAGTGTGCTCCTTGAGTGTGTCATTCGTGGATGTGATAGGGTTGTAATCCAGCGTGGTCGAGTCTGACCACCAGGTGTACTCTCTGGGGCCTCCGGGGAGGTGCAAAGTCAGCCTGTGCCAGTGCCTTGCCCAGGGCCACCCAGCATGAGCTACACAGCAAACCGTAGATGGCTGCTACTTGTGCTGGGCTTGGAGGCGTCCAAGAGGGGCCAAGCTATGAACCAATGCAGGCTGTCGCTAGTGCCAGGCCTGGGGCCACTTATCAAGAGGTGTGGGGCACCCTGAGGCCAGCTACTGCTTGTTTGAGAGATTTTAGGAAAATCCTAAGCATGAGGCTGGAGAGCCCGCTTGCATAGAAAAGCCACTGAAAATGGCTGGGATGAGCTTGCAGGTAGGGAGGGGTGGGGTTTCCAGGAATCATAGGGGTTGGGGGGCAAACGTGAGAGTCAGGTTGATGGAGGTTCAAATATGGTGCCTGCCCGCTCTGTCCGGGGAGGGCTCGCCAAAGGAGCAGTGGCCTCTGCCAGCTCTTCTTTCTGGGAGAAAGCTGTGCCTCCCCAACTCTGGCCCTGATTCCAGGCATGGTAGCTCCTCCCCTAATGGTCCAGGTTCCTTTCAAGCTGCTGCCCAGAGCTGAGACTCAGAGGGAGCATGTCTGAGTAAGTCTGTGCACCGACCCTTTAAGAGGAGCTTCCTGGGACTCCTGCAGCCTTCGATTCCCTCAGTCTTGATCCCTGCTGGTTTTATAGAAGCTGTGGGACTTCTCTTCCCAGCACTGGAACCCTGGGCTGGGGACCTGATGTGGGGATGGGGGGTCTGGTATAGGGCTGGGACCCCTGCTCCTCCAGGAAACCTCCATCACTGAGATAACCCTCCTGGTTTTAAACTGTGACACCGGGTGTGGGACCACAGCCGAGTCTCAGAGATTCAGTCCTGCCCTGCCCTGTATGTACGCCCCTCCTACCCATCTTGATGCTTTTTCAGTTCCCTCTTTTTAGGGCTTCTGTTCAGCTAGATTTCAGGAGGTTCTGAGTGATGGGTTCTGTATTTTAGTTGTGATTTTGATGTGGTTATGGAAGGTGGCAGGTACTACAGTTACCTACACAACCATCTTGTCTCTCACAGAGCAAAAGTTTTTAATTTTGATAAAGTACAATTTGCCAATTATTTTCCTTTATAGATTGTGCTTTGGTATCTTAAGAATTCCTAGATCACAAAGATTTACTCCTCTATTTTCTTCTAAACATTTTATAGTTTTAGCCCGGCCGGGCGTGGCTCAGCGGTTGAGCGTTGACCTGGGATCCAGGTGATCAGGGTTCGATTCCCGGCCAGGGCACATACCCGGGTTGCGGGCTGCAGCCGATCAATGACTCTCTCATCATTGATGTTTCTCTCTCCCTCTTCTTTCCTCTCTCTGAAATCAATAAAGATATATTTAAATTAATTAATTAATTAATTAATTAATTAATTAAATAAACAAACATTTTATAGTTTCACATTAGGTCATCAATCCATTTTGAATTTATTTTTGTGTAAGTTTTAGGGTAGATTGATTCTCGTTTATCTTTCCCTTTAGATGGCCAGTGATTTTTATACTGTTTGTTAAAAAGACTGTCTTTTCTCTATTAAATTGACTTTGTACCATTATAAAAAATCAGTTGATATATTTGTATGCGTCTGTTTCTGTAGTACTTTCTTTTTCTATTTTGTTGATGTGTCCTTTCCCTTCACCAATTCTATACTGCCTTGGATATTGTAACTTTATAGTAGGTCTTAAAATTGGGTACCGTGACTCCTGCAACTTTATTTTTCAAAATTATTTTGGCTATTTTACTTTTTTGCCTTTGCACATAAACATTAGAATTATGTTGTCTGTTTATTTTTATTTTTTGTTATATAAACCCACTTATTATAGGCTAGCAATGTTTCAAAGTGTGGAACTTATACTAGTCTTTCAATTCCTTCAGTCTTCTGATGGCAGACTTTACTGTGACAGCAGAAGTGGTGTTGTAGGTCCAGGCACCACCAGCTACTGTTTTCATGCAGGAACCAGAGTGCCAGATCCCCACAGCTCGTCTTTTCATCTTGGTTTTGCCACAGAAGGAGCAAGCATACTTGGCATGTTGGCTGATTTCAGTTTTCTTCACCATTTTCTGGAGGGAGGCACGATAACATGTCCCATATTTACCGACGATTCCCACCTTCTTGGTGCGTTTAGCCATCTTGCCGCAAACCCGGTCAGACCCCAAGAGGCTTGTCTATTAAAAAAAAAAAAAAAAAGTCCTGCTGGATTTTGAATGGAATTGTACTAAGTCTGTCAATCAATTAGGGAGAAATGACATCTTTTCTATGTTGACTTTTCCAGTCCATGAAAACAGTATATGTTTCCCTCATTTATTTAGGTCATTGGTTTCTTTCTTCAATGTTTTGTAGATTTCAGTATACAGATCCTGTACATATTTTGTTAAGTCTGTAACTAAGTGTTTTATTTTGAGGTAGCAGTCATAAATGGTATTGTTTTTTAATTTTTGGTTTTCATTTATTCATTGCTAGATACAGAAGTCTGATTTATTTGGCAGTATTGATTTTATGTCCTATTATCTTGCTAAATTCATTATTGGGTTTTTTTGCGTGTGTGTGTGTATTCTTTGGTATTTTACATGTACACAAGTATGTTTGTGAAGAGAAGCAGTTTTTATTTCTTCCTTGCAAACCTATATGCCTTTTATTTCCTTTTCTTGGCTTATTGTATTGGCTGGAACTTTCGTTATGATGTCGAATAGTAATGGTGACAGTGGCCAACCTTCACTTGTTTCTGATCTTAGGGGGAAGGCATCAATCTGTAGGTTTGTTATAGTTGCCATTTATCAGATTGAGGAAATTTTCTTCTATTCCTAGTTTTTGAGTTTTTATTATGAGTGAATGTTGAATTTTGTTAAATGCTTTCTCTGCAGCATTTGAAATGGCCATGTATTTTTTCTTCCTTAGACTCAGTATGCTGGATTACATTGATTGCTTTTGAAAAATTGAACCAGCTTTGATTCTTAGGAATAAAATCCACTTGGTTTTAATGTATTTTCCTCCTTATATATGACTTGATTTAATCCACTAATATGTTGTTGAGACATTTAGTACCTTTGGCTGTGATGATATTTGTAGTTTTCTTGTAATATCTTTGCCTGGTTTGAGTATCAGAGTAATGTTGGCCTCTTAAAATTAGGTGGAACGTATTTCCCTCTCTTCTATTTTCTGAAGAGATTATATAGAATTAGTTCTATTTCTTCTGTAAATGTGTGCTAAAATTTACCAGACAAAACACCTGGTAATTTCTTTAATAATAGATTTCTTTAATACTTATAGGACTATTCAAGTTATCTAATTTATCTAGGGTGCCTTGAAAATTTTTGATTTTCAAGGAAGTGTTCTATTTCAACTAAGTAGTTGAATTTATGTGTTTAGAATTGTGTGTAATACTTCCTTATTATCTTTTTAATATCTGCAGGATCCGTAGTGATTTTCCCCCCATTTCTGTTATTATGTGTTTTCTTTCTTTGTCAGTCTTACTAGAGAGTTGTCATTTTTATTGATGTTTTTAAAGAATTATCTTTTAGTGTCATTGATTTTTTTCTATCTTCAGTTTCATTGATTTCTGCTCTTTATTGTCTTCATTCTGATTACTTTGAGTTTATTATATTATTCCTTTTCTTAGTTTCTTAAGGTAGAAAGTTAGATTATATGAGATCTTTCTACTTATATTAGTTAATGTGGGCTACCATAACAAAATACCACAAACAAAATTATTTCTCACAGTTCTGGAGGCTGAGAAGTCCAAGATCAAGGTGCCAGCAATGTAGGTTTCATTCTGAGGCCTCTTCGTTTAGATTGTAGGCAGCTGCCCTCTGGCTGTGTGTTCACATGACCACCTCTTATGTATGCTCTGGGAGAGAGAAAGAACAAGTTCTTTGGTGTCTTCTTATAAGGGTTCTAATTCTGTTGGATTAGGACTCCATCTCTGTGACCTCATTTAACCTTAATTAGTGCCTTAGAGGCCCTTTCCAAATAAAGCCACACTGGGTTAGGGCTTAAACATATGAATTTTGGAAGGGCACTGATATTTAGTACATGACACTACTTTTCTAATATAAGCATTTAGTGGTATGTATATATTTCTCTCTAAGTACTTACTTAGTTTGCATTCCACAAATTTTGATAAGTTATATTTACACCCTTGTTCAGTTCAAAATCTTTTTCATTTTCCTTTGAGATTATCTCTTTGACATATGGGTTTTTTAGAAGTGTGTTGTTTAATTTTCAAGTGTTTGGAGATTTTTTGTTCTGTTTTTGTTATTGATTTTTTTTTTTTAAGAAGTTTACATTTATTTATTTATTTATTTATAAATATATCTTTATTGATTTCAGACAGAAGAAAAGAGAAGGAGAGAGAGAGAGACAGAAACATCAATGATGAGAGAGTCATTGATTGAGCCCACAACCTGGGCATGTGCCCTGACTGGGAATCGAACCCCAATCGCCTGGATCCTAGGTCGACGCTCAACCGCTGAGCCAAGCCCAGCCGGGCTTGTTATTGATTTTTAGTTTAATTTCATTATGGCCAGAGAATATACTTTGTATGATTTCAGTTCTTTTAAGTTTGTCAATGTTGTTTTATAGCTCAGCATATATGATCTATCTTAGTGAATGTTTCATGAGCATTTGAAAAGAATAAGTATTCTGTTTTTAGTTGGAGTGTTCTAAAAATGTCAATTAAATCCTGTTGTTTGATGATATTGTTCAGTTCTACATCTTGCTAATTTTTGGCCTCATGGGTCTATCCCTGAAAGCGGGGTGTTGAAATACCCAACTGTAATTGTACATTTGTCTGTTTTTCCTTTTAGTTCTCAGTTATTGCTTTGTGTATTTTGAAACTATTATTAGGTACAGAGACATTTAAAATTGTTGTCTTTTTGGTGAACTGTGCCTTTTACCATTACGTAGTGTTCCTTGTCGGTGATAATGCCTTTGCTCTGAAATCTACTTTGTCAAATATTAATATAGCCATTCCATCTTTTTTTGAATAGTGTTTGTATGGTGTATCTTTTTAAATTTAAATCAGTAGACTTTATTTTTTAAAACGGTTTCAAAGGTTTACAGAAAAATTGAACAGAAAGTTTACAGAGTTTCCTTATACCACCCTCCCCCAATACCACATTATGCTCTATTATTAACATTTTGCATTAGTGTGGTACATGTGTTACAATTGACAAACCAGTATTGATATGTTAGTTATTATTAACTAAAGTTGCTAATTTATGTTAGGTTTTACTCTTTTTTTTAAATTTGTCTTTATTGTTGAAAGTATGACAGATAGCCCCCTTTTATCCCCTATTGATCCCCTCCACCCCACATCTGCCCCCCCAACCCAGGCCTTTACCACATTATTGTCTGTGTTCATGGGTTATGCATATATGCATATAAGTTCTTTCATTAATCTCTCCTCACCCACTCCCCTCCTTTCCCACCCCGCCTTCCCACTGATATTCGTCAGTCTGTTCCATGCTTCTATGTCTCTGGATCTATTTTGTTCCTCAGCCTATTTTGTTTACTAGATTCCACCTATGAGTGAGGTCATGTAAAACTGAACCAGGAGGAATCAGAAAACCTGAATTAGGTTAGTAACAACTGATGAGATCAAAGCAGAAATTAAAAAAACTCCCAGCAAACAAAAGCCCTGTTCCAGACAGCTTCACAGGGGAGCTGTTTAATTCTTTAGGTTGTAGGGTTAGATAGTTTACTAAAAATTTTTTTTGCTTTTTGACATAGGCCTGTAGTGCTATGAACTGCCCTCTTAGGATTGCTTTAGCTGTGTCCCATAGGTTTTGGGTTGTTGTGTGTTCATTTGCATTTGTTTCCAGGAAGTTTTTGATTTCTTTCTTGATCTTATTGGTAACCCATTCATAGTTTAATAACATGCTATTTAGCCTCCATGTGTTTGAATGTTTTTGAGTGTTTTTACTGTAGTTTATTTCTAATTCCATGCCATTGTGATCTGAGATGCTTGATATGATTTCAGTCTTCTTGAACTTGTAGAGACTTGTTTTGTGTCCTAACATGTGGTCTGTCTTTGAGAATGACCCGTGTGCACTTGAGAGGAATGTATATTCTGCAGCTTTGGGGTGAAATGTTCTGTAAATATCAATTAAATCCATCTGATCTAGTGTGCCATTTATAGTCACTGTTTCTGTGTTGACTTTTTGTCTGGAAGATCTATCCAGTGAAGTCAGTGGGGTGTTAAAAGTCCACTACTATGACTGTATTGCTGTTGATCTCTCCCTTAAAGTCCTTAAGGTTATTATTGATAGGTCCTTATTTATTGCCATTTTAATTCATTATGCCTATGATTCTCTCTATTAGAGTTTACTCTTTGTGTTGTACAATTCTTTAGGTTTTAAAAAATGTATAATATTATGTATTCACTGTTAAAGTACCATACAGAATAGTTTGTTGTATTTACTTTTAAACTGCCTATATCATTATATGTGAAGTGTTTCTAATTTGTTTGGACAATTTCTGTCTTTTAATTGGTATTTTTAGACTATTTAAATTTGATGTGATTATTGATATTTTTAGATTTAGGTCTACCATCTTATTTGTTTTTTTCGTTGGTGTTCCTATTTTTAAATGTACATATACTTGTACATATGTGTATGTGTATATACATACTCCTAACCTTTTTTTCTGTTTGAGTTTTTTTTTTATTTTTAAATTTTTAAAATTTTATTGTTGACATTATTACAGATGTTTCTTTCTTTTTTAAAATATATTTTTATTGATTTCAGAGAGAGGAAGGGAGAGGGAGAGAGGGATAGAAACATCAAGGATGAGAATCATTGATCGGCTGCCTCCTGCACGCCCCCTACTGGGGATCAAGCCTGCAACCCAGGTATGTGCCCTGACCAGGAATTGAATCGTGACCTCCTGGTTTGTGGGTCGACACTCAACCACTGAGCCACACCAGGCAGGCTACACACCTAACTTTTAATGGTCTACTTAGAATGAATATTTTGCCATTTCAGGTGGATTGTCAAAACCTTACCACCATGTAGGCTTCTTTCTTTATCCCCCTTTAATGTTGTAGTTGTCTTATCACATTTATCTACATATATTGAAAACTCCATGTTATAATCTTACAACTTTTGCTTTTAAACCTATTTTAAAGAACTAA